ATATAAACATATTAGCTTGATAAAAGTGCACTAAATAGCCAACTAAAAAAATGAATTAGTAAATAGGCTGGTAAAAGGATTAGAAAATGACACAGCTCGCATAAGCTGAAAAAATTGGATAAGCAAAATTCATTCAATCAACAAATAATGTTTGAGTGTCTTTTTTTTTTTTATTAAATTTCTTTGAAAATTTATTCAGGAAAAAAGAAACAATTTGAAGTTTCGTTTCAATTCATTCACAATTATTCGTCAATTTTTTTCTTAATTTTTTAAAAGATAAAATAAAAAGGAAAACAATGAAAAAAATGAAGTAAACGGGTGAAAGTTGAACGAACACTTTAATGATTGAATTAAATGCATCATAAAATTAGTGCTTTAGGAGGAATATAGCAGTATCGAGGGATAATTGGATTTATTCGAATGATTAGGATTTTAATTAAAATTGATAGTAGAATGATTGGTTTGAAGGTAATGATAGTGATAGATAATAAGATAATTAAGAATGTAATGGGACTAGTAATAGGGATGATAATAAAATAATTAGAAAAAGTCATCAGCTAAATGATCTTGAAACATAATACATCAGTTAGATTTCTAAAAGTCTTAAAAAAAATTAAACTAGGAAATGATTGACGCTAAACAGTTAATATCATCGATAACAAAACCAACAAATGATTTATTAGTTAAAATTATTAAGCATCCTATAATCATATCATATCATTTATATGATTGGTCAATGATTGGTTCTATGATAGCAATGCATATTTTTCCTTTAAAATTCAATCATTTTCTACAAATACCTTGTTAATTTTAAAAATAATTTTATTTTTTTAAAATGATTTTCATGAAATATAATACTGTTCATATGAACTGGTATGCTGACATATACCGGTATGTAACATTGTGTATAATATCAATATAAAACACTGGAACATTGCGATAACATTTTTCATTTATGTAGTTAATCTCTGATACAAATATTAAAAAAATGATAATAATAGTAATAATAATGACAATAATAATAATAATAATGATAATAATGATAATAATAATAATAATAACTCATTTAACAAACATTTTAAGCAAAATTTATAGTCAATAAATTGATTGTGTATAAATTTTGCTTATAATGTTTGCATGAAATTTTAATAACAAAAAAATATTTAATTCGTAGTATGTTTTTGGAAATTTAAAAAAAAAAATAAACGAAATTAAGAATGGCACAGAAAATATGTGAAAATATGTAAATATGAAAATAGGTGAACGAATACGACATATATACAGGTGACAAATGAACGATAAATAAATATTTTATTTCTTTGCATTTTTTTTTTAGAAAAAAAAAGGATGAAAGAATGAAAAAATTACAAACCTTTAATTTAATGAATGATTGAATTTATTGGTGCTGATTGTTTGTTTGTTTGTTGATTGCTAATTGACGGAGTGTGCTCGTGTGAGGAGGATTATAGCAAACAGTAAGGTGACGACGAAACAATTTTTTTATTAAAAAAATCGAAAAAAATTACTGTACGCATTTTTTTTTTTAATTTTTATCATAAAATATCATTCTTTTCTATCACAAAGACATTAATATTAGTTGTATTTTAGAAAATTTTGTTGCTTAAATTTGAGAAAAGTATTTCAACAATTATGTCATACTGTCCAAAAATTTTTTAGAGAAAAGAAGCAATTAAGCATCAATTTAAAATTAAAAATTTACTAAAGTCAATCAGAATTTTCAATTTTATCCACTAATTTGTATTAGCGAAACTTAACGTTTCAAAAATTTATCAGAAATTTACGCCTCCAATTAATCTAATCTTATATTAGTAGCTGATAAAAAGAGAAATTTTACTTCTTGAACTTTCTTTTCCTTATCCTCTAAATTGGTATTTGCAACAGCCAAATCCTCCTGTGCTTTATCTAAATCATTTTCCGTTTGCATCATCTTTTTTTGTGTATCTCGAAGCTCTTCCTCGATCCGTTCCAATTTATCCGTCATCTGTCGTACTTTTTCTTCTGCGGCATCAGCTCGATCGAGAGCGTTATCCTTGAAAACATCCATTTTTACTTCAATTATTACTTCAAAATTTTCAATAAATTTCAATAATTTCTAATAAATAAACAAATAATACGAAAAGTTTCCAAAATTTTATTACAATTGAAAATATCTTAAGTTCAAAATTTGCGTTTGTGGAAAGGAATAATTTTGAAAAATTACAAAAATTTAAAAAGAAACCCTTGCTTTTTATTTGATTCAGCCTGGAGAAAGCTGTAAAAATAATTTTGAGGATTATGTTTTAAGCAATCTTAAATTGATTTATCATTGTTTATATGGATAAATTGTGAAATTTTATCAAATGAAATAATAATACTTGATTTTAGTTTAAATAGATATATTCAATTTAAGTACATATTGAAAAAAATTATAGCAAATGTATTGAACAAACAACTAAAAATTTTTGCATAGTTACAATACTTTAAACATAAAATTTAACTTGTATTATTCGAAATCATTTAATCGATAGAGTCCAACAAAATATTTACCTGATAAGTTGAATTTTTCGTTTCACTGATTATATTTTTGAAATTTTTTCGGTATGAAAACTTTTAGGAACATTTGAATAAATGATCAATTGTAAAATTTGATTCATCAGGCTAATGTACCATTAAATTTATAAGAGAAAGAAATCAATGCTAATTGATTTTTTTATTATTAAGTTATTTCCAAAAGATTATATAAAAACTATTACAATAATATTTCTGCTTTTTTGTATTGCAATACAAATTTTACTCTTACAAAAATATATCTATTTACTCAATAATAGTAATATTGGTCCATCGATAGAATATATTTCCAAATTTATCTTCCACGGATATGATCATTTCTATCGATTAAATAAATAAATAAACATTTGTTTTTATTCGTTCAATTTTTTAATTTTCAAATTTTATTCAATCCATTCAATTATTGCATTCATTTTCTGCTTCTTTAATATTTCCCCTCTCCCTCTCGCCCCTCTTCT